CTGTGTGGTAGGCAGTAGGCACATATACAACTTCGCTGTTACAGAGAGGATTGGTGAGGAGAGCTGCAAACGGACGCGTGAACTAAAGGGGGTCAGATGGCTGGGTGGAAATCCAATTTATTATCAGGTAGACCACCCCCCCTCCCCCACCAAGCTAGCAGGTCCTACAGAACCACGTGGGTCCAGTACCAACCACAGGAACCTGGTAAAGATAGACAGTAAATAGACCGGCGCCATCATTTCCTTCTTCGATAAGGAATTTGGGCATGTCTGAAAGGTTGGACCCTGAGGTAGGATCCCCTCTTTCTCTCTTTTTCGGTTTTTCCTTCCAGAAAAGGGTATCTCGGCCTACGCGCAGAATCCGGAGGAGGCATCCGCATCGCTGGTGCCCGTCATAAAGCAGCTGCTGGACGCAAACGTGCCCAAGGCAAGACGCAAGTCAACCAGACTCTTCCTTGGTGCGACTGCTGGCATGCGCCTACTAAAGTGCGTTCTCCCTTCTCTTAATTGAGATAACAGCAAGTGTGCATTTTCACTGTGAAGAAAATGAGTTAATAGTCTGAAAAAAAGAACTGATAATCGAGTTAAAATCCGACCACTGACTGTCATCATTTAGACATCTCGCAGGATGAAATGAGGTGTAGCAACCGAGGCAGGAGTGAGGTACATAAAAATGCGTAAAGCAGTTTCAACGAGCTTCTTTCTGACCACAAACAAAACGTATGTACTGCAAAAAATAGCTACTTAAGTAGTATGCATATTATCATTGATTTTGAATGCCTTTATAAATTCAAATATATTTTTTGGAAAACATGCGTGAAAAACGTCTTCTTTGTACTCATTTGGCAGAAAATGACACCTTTTTTAAATTTCATACTTAAATAAAGGGTATGCTTCGGTTTTGAAAAAGTTTCTAAATTGTCGAATAATTTTGAAGCCTACCGGCTGCTATACTTGAATTCAACGTTTAAAAACTGCGCGCTGTGTACGTTTCTGCCTATGGTTTGAGGAAGAAGCCACGCAGTTCTCATAAAATGTTGCAACAAATGTGGAACATGCTGTATACATTATATGCAGCATTAATAAATTGACGGATGTGGTGTAACATGAATAAACACCTCACAATCGCAAAAAAAGCTCATAATTTGAAACTTTTTTCGAAATCGAAAGATGCCCCTTTGTTCAGTATAAAATTTAAAGAAGGCGAAATTGACCACCAAACGAGTACAAAAGTTAATTTTTTCGTTTATGGTTTCCATAAAACCCATTTGAATTTATAAAGGCAGTCAAAATCAATGATGAAAATGCGTACTACTTAAGTAGTACATACTTTTTATTAGCTGTCAAAAAGAAGCTCATCAAAAAGCCGGCACCCTGACGTGACCAAAATATATTGAGATTAGGCTGAACGATCGTCATTCTTACAACCATACGTAATTAATATGTTTGAATCGAAGACGCATTTCAGAATTCCGGGTGACATTTAATGAGACAGGCAATCTACGCAGGTACCAAGAGGAGGCTGCGCAGGTTTGAACTTCCTCATGCACAAGACGGAAGGATCCGAAAGCTTTGCAAGGGACTGACAGTCAGCTCGCTTCTTTCTGACCGCTAGCAAAAATTAGTTGCGGAAAAAATGACTACTTAA